TTTTTCCTTTTTTTCCCCAGATTAGGTCTTTTCGTTGGTTTATTTTCGTTTTTTGTAGTTTATTCTGTGTTTTCCTATTTCTAGAGTCCTTATGTGTTTTTTCGGTTATTTTCTTCGTTTTCTCCATTTTTGTCGTCTTGAGTGATGTGCAGGTTGAGTTGCTTGATTGTTTTGTTATGGGGAAGAAAGTTATCAAATTCGTAGACGAGTTCGTCTCCATTAAACTATATAAAATGGGACCAAATTCTGTTTTCAAAAGAGCGAGACTGGGACCGAGACATGAGCAGTACAAGGAAGCTTACTACATCCAACACACCTCACGATAGCAATTTTCTCCTTCAAAGCGCAAGAACTCCACGGCGATAGCAGCTCCACTTTCACGCCATGAGAAGCATTTCGTGTCGTGCCGTCCTCACCTGCCGCGTCGCTGCAATGCCTCACGCCACGACGGAACTCTTCTCGACGCCGCGACGTTCTTCACCGTCACGTCGCGACCCTCCACGTTACCAGCATCGCGGGGGTACAAGAGCTCCACCCTCCACGGCACGCCACCTGAAGTACCTCGCCGCTGCAATGCTCTTCTTTGCGCTGTGGCACAACCCCGCACCGCGGCGGCCGCTCCTTTCACGCCGTGAGAATTCTTCAACACCGTGCCATCCAGTTTCTGCCAGGTTTCTCTCCCGCGACCACGACTCCTCATTCACTGCGGTCGCGGCGATCAAATACAATTCTGGTACTAGACTTCAGCGCAGAGAAATTTGCGGCCTCGGGAAGGGTCATGGCCGTGGAGCCGTCGTTAACCATGGCCTGTGAGACCCTCCGCGACCGCGACGTGCGCGATTGATCAGATTTTTTTAGACCAGATTTCTAAATCGTGTTCATTAGTTCTAATCTAGGTTTTTAAAGTTCGTTTATTTTTCTCTGGTACACTGGACGGAAAAAGAAAGAATTTTTTTTTCCTTCTCTTGGTTTTGGCTTAGAAAAGATTTTGGAGGGTGAATAACTCTCTTTTATATATTGAATTTCGTTTGCACTCGGTATTTGACATTGAACCTTCGTATCAATCGTAAGTTTTGATTTTCATTTTATCTATGGATACCTTGACTTTGTTTGATATGAATGGTTATGTTAAATTTGTGATGAGTAGCTAAATTCGTCAGCTAGGGTTAGGGGATTATCGTTCTGATTCGATTTTGTTTATATGTATATTAATTGCTCAATCTTTTCGAGTTGTGTTAATTATAAGGTTAGATGATTGATCACCGTCTTAATCTATTTAATCGATTTTAAAATCAGAAGGGGAGAAATCGATCGATCTAGGCTCGTTTAGAATAGACTTGTTCGGAGACGTATTGTCTATGTGCTAATTGACTCGATAATTGTTCATTTATATTTATTCTTTTGTTTCGTGAGATATTGAGAATGAATCTCTAGATGAGTTAGTTTTTCGAGTTCTTTAGCCGAGTAGTTGATTGCCTGTTGAATGTATTGAGAACCGGAATCGATTGTCCCCGATACCCTAGCCCCTTTAATCTTACTTGTTCTATGTGTTCGCATGCTATTTACTTTGCTTATTTGAATTTCTGCAGTAGTTGATAATTAAATCCAAACCAATATCTTGAATTAGAATGTCTAGGAATTTTATTTCTTTTTGTGTGATTGAATAAACGCGCATAATATTCCGGCTAACCTTCCTCGAAAGAGACATGACCCGGTGTTCGAATCTTTAGATTCTACTTCGGAAAAATATCTACAACATAATACTCCAGCACAGAAAAGGTATGACGACATGTGTCGATCATTCGTAGAGGTGGCAAACCTAGCAGTGGATATGTTTCAATCCAGCATTGGATAGAAAATAAAAAGAATGAACTTATTTTGACGAAGTATGATTTTAGTGATATTGAACTGTATACTTCACGTCAGAAAATGGAAAGTGCGAATATAAAAGATCAAAAAAATCAAAGACAAAAGGCGCGCCTAGATCAAAACGAAAAAAGGGTCAGTTGGAAGTGAGCTCAAAGAAAGCAAAGGTATATGTTAATTGTATTATCATTTTATAAATTTTTTTAGTAAAGTAATTTTTATGTGTGGTTTATATTCAGGCACGCTCAAGGCAAGTAAATAAAAATGGTCTGGCGCACAATCCCGAAAGCATCACAAATGTTGCACTTGAACTCTTTCCAACCGAATCAAGTTTATTTTTATCAGTTCTATAGGTTGGTTACAAGTTTTGTTGGAGGACAAGTGATAAAGGGAGAAAACAAATGTGATGATGGTGGTATATGAAAGTGAAATTTTAAGTTTCTTGTTTTTCCAACAAAAAACAAATTTATGACTTTTATTCCCATGGTTAAATGTATTGATGTTTATCAGTAACTAACTTTAGCTTCTAGTATTAGATTATAAGTAAATTTGCTTGGTTCATAAACAGGCTTCAATTAACATGCAATTATATTCAGCTAAATTCAAAAAATGTTGCTGACAGAAGAATATTATTTGTACATTTGCTTGTAGATGAGTGTTTGATTGCAAATAGATATGCATTTTAAAGTATGATTACAAATAATTTATTGTTTAATTTGAATTGCATGTTTAGATTCTTGTTCTGGAAATAAAGAAATTTTATCGTGTGTTGGCTTTAGGTTGAGATCCTTCTATTTACAAAAGGTGGAATTTTGTTTGCATTGTTGGGGCATTTAGGTTGTGATGATTGACTATTTTCCTTTTTGTTTTATTTTTATTTTTTGTTTCTAATTGTTTGTTTTATGTGTAAATTGTATGTCAAAATGAGGACAAGACATGAGAAATAAAAAGGTAGTTCTTGTTGTTTACATTTTTTTTTCTGTGTGTGTTTTGTGTATTTATGTAGCTTTGTTGATGACATTTATGTTGATGTGTTCTTGCTCTTTGGATACTTATTTTTTGTAATTTTATGGGTTGTTTACAAGAAAGACTGTTAATGTTACTCTCAAATTCAGACAAATAAACAAACAGAAAAAGATCAGTTCATGGCATTGCAGCTTCACCAATGGTCGAAGATGAACAAAGGCAAACAAGCATTCGAAACAGACAAGATTCAATGCGTAAAGAACCATACACTAATACATAATTCGAAAACCAATCTTCCCACAAACAAAAAACATTTCCTAACAGGAAATCTAAAAAAGTAGGAAGAAAAAAAAATCTTGACTAGTTTTATGTTCAATCACATTCTTACTTCAAGTCCTCTTGAAAAACTTTCCGAAACCATTTATGGCGTCCACAAATGGTTGTTCAACAATGAAGTTGGCATTAAATCCTCATCCCGGTTTGCAATACGACCATAATTTCCCATCGACATTCTTGGATGATCCAAATCGCTATTAGTTAATAATAAAGAATCTTCATATGTTAATCTCCATGCATCTCCTTCATTGACTGTGACCTTTGAGAAAACCGAGTATGTTTGAAGTGTCTATCAAGAAATCCTCCAGTATTTAAAACAACATCACAACTTGACTAATTTATGTGTAAAATCTTCAAAACCAAATTTCAGGTAGCATTTGTGTCCATAGTTTTGGTTCATTTACTGCCTCCGCAATGTTGGGACTTCAAAGATTCATTCAAATATTGGACAACATAGTGACACAAAATAAACCAAAGACACTCTTCAAAGCCTTGATGCCCAAGCAAAGCCAAAGCACTTCCAACATTTGGACCCCAAAAAAAATATTTTTTTCTTCTCTGTCAAAACCAAAATTAACAATCGTGTCCAGCCTGTTCCCCAATCAACAACGGATGAAGAGAAATAGAAGTGGGACCCACGCCAGGGTTTGTCCAGGCCACCATCTGACGTGTTCCTCCGCTCGTGCCTTTGCCTCGGCGCGGACGGCCCCCGGCCCGGCCGCTCGGGTAGGATAGGGCGGTCACGACATCACCGATCGGTGTGGCGGCCTGCTCCTGGAGACAAGAACATCCAAATCTTTGTTCAATGGAATAAAACTAACATCCAAATCACTCAGAACTCCAAAAACTCTCGAACTTCAAAAACAGATGTGCGCCTTCAACCTTGTGTGTGAGATGCGAATAGAGAAGCAAAAAAATAATTAAATGCAGAGTAACTAGAAGAAAATTGTTGCCCTTCACTTTGTCTCTCAAAGAACTCAGATGATTTGTAGAGTAGAAGAGAGATTAGGGTAGTGAAAATTGTTTCATTAAATTGGGGAAAAGGAATTGTAGATGATTTGTAGAGTAGAAGAGAGATTAGGGTAGTGAAAATTGTTTCATTAAATTGGGGAAAAGGAATTGTTGATTAGGGTAGGGAAAATGACGGTTAGAATATGGAGAAAAGGAATTGTTTCATTAATTTTGTTTTATAGATGTTAATATTTAATTTTTATATAATTGATGCCATGTCATGTTGTAACCCAATTAGGGGTGGGTGCGGTACGGGACGGTCCGGGATTTGACGTATCCCGATACCTATCCCGGTACCTATCTGGGTTTTTTGAACCGGTTCAGGACCGGTCGGGGACGAGACACCGTTCCAAACGAATCGGTATCAATCAAGACCAGGACAAAACGTTTTAGGACCGAGACAAAACGAGAAAAAGAAAATATTCAAACTTCAAAGTGAAATACGGTTTTTTTGCCCACCCCTAAACCCAACTTTGTCATGAGACTTTAATAGTGTAGCGGGATTGATTCTTATTTAATATTAAGCGTACAACTCACTTTGTCAAAAGAATTTATAAAAAGACGACTTGGTTAGAGTAGCATTATTCTCCCCGAATAAGCCCCCATGAAATAAAGGAAAATCTAGCAAAAGAATTGCCCGCCCAGCCGTCTATTAGCGAGAGCTTGAATTTCAAAATTGAAACTAAACACTACCTATTGGACAATTATTCTCGACTTTTTCTAATTCTCTCAACAGTGAAACGAAAATCAAACTATTCTTTTGGAAGTACAAAAAGAAATCTCAGATCCAAACCCTCTCGAAGTTTCCCTAAAATTGTCAAATGGAGAACTCCGATTCAACTCCGTCCGTGGCTCCAGCCGCTCTCCCTCTGGTATTCACTAGTTTAATTTGCTCATATATACATATATATATATATATATATGTGTGTGTGTGTGTGTGTGTGTGTGTGTATTACAGTTGTGTTCACTTGTATATTTGTAATTCTGATTCTCGCGTAGAAGCAAGAGAATGTAGCACCGATCACTTCTAAGATTGCGGTAGGCATGTTAATTAATCGAACCCGATGTTTTTTTTTTTTTTTTTTATAATCTGTTTGAAAAAAAAAATTGTGTGTTGGGGTTGAATTTGCAGGAACTGGCTGAGTCAAGGAAGGAACTTCTCGGCAGAATACAGAATCTGAAACAGGTTAAAGTTTACTCATTTCTTTAGCTTCCCCATTGTTTACAATGACTTTTGTTTTTCATTTTTTTATGCTGGAAGATTATAGAAAAAGCAAGCTGCATCTAGTAATTGTTTTGATCTTATGGGGATGG